CTGGGTTTGGACTCCTGCAAGGACGCTGGTGTCACAATGACTCACGTCACTGTCACGCTCCTGAGTCAGCTGACCCTCCGCAGGGGCTCGAGTCACCGAATGACGTGGCTGAGTCGGGCAGCTGCGGGCTATGGCCATGTTGCAGTGTTTCTATGATGGGAGAAAACCCATTTTCTGAAAATGGATTTATGAGGTTTCCAGGGGCCCTAACTCCCAGTCCCGAATTTGGCCCCTGATTCTGCAGCTGAGCCATTCTTCTCCCGCAGAGTGACACCCCTCCGAGGGTCTCCCTGCCAGGCTCAGGAGGCCCGCCCACCACCTACTGCCTGCACTGTCCCCTGAGGATAGCAAGGTCACAGCCACGGTGACAGGCAAGTGACCACAAGAATACAGCAGATGAAGCCGGAGTGAGAACAAGTCCACTTGAAAAACAGGCCAATGTCCATGGTCATGGTCCAGAAACAAGCGTGTGTCAGAGTGCACATGGGCAAGCACGTGTGTGTGAGCGTGCGCGTGTGAGCATGTGCAGCCCGCGTGTGCAGCCTGCGTGTGCAGCCAGCGGGCCGGCTGTCAGCGGGACTCTGTTTCCTCCTCAGTCTGTAGCTTTTCTTTCTGTGTGACAGTCCTTCCAACCGGATGTCAACACGGGGGACCCTGAGCTGGGGTGGGCTGGGCACGTGCCCCTCACAGGGGTGACGGGTGGCTTCCAAGACGCATGCCTTATGGCTGTGTGCAGGGACCGCGTTGTCCACCTCTCTCTGTGGCCTCTTCCGCGGTTTGGGTGCTGACTCACATGGACGGCCACCGGGACCTCAAGGACAGAGCCAGTGAGACACTAAGGCACCGTCACCTGGCCAAGGGTGGCACCAGGCTGTCGTCATCCGTTGAGCTCGCTCAGGAAGCCCGTGAGGGCTCAGGCCTCAGGACCTACCCTGGTGGGCGCTGTCCTTTACCGGCTGGACCCCTGGAACCTGGGGTCCCCAGAGGAGCACGTGCCCTGCCCTCCTCCCATCCTGCGTCCTGGCTGTGCCCTCCCTCCAGCAAGATGCAGGACTCAGATTTACCACCGGAGAATTTCAGGAATTTCCTCTGCATCTGAAAGAACAGTCACTCAAAACCAGCCTTCGTGTCACAACTGCAGGGTGTGAAAGGACCTTTGTGCTCTCGGGCGGCCATGCGCACATGTCTGCGGAGTGGGCTGTGTGCCTCTGGCTGCCCACCTGGGCCCCGGCTCCACTGGGGGTTCCGGGTTGTCAGGGGGCCAGTGAACACTCCCCCAGGAGGGCTGAGCGCCAATGTCCTGCAGTGACAGGTCAGCAGTGGTGGCTGCAGAGCCCAGACCTATGTCCCACATGCCTCTCATCACATCCACCCTTCTCGGCAGGGCCTTTCCCATGTCAGGGCCCCTGAAACCCTGTCATCCGGGACCCTCCAGATCCCCTAAATCCTCCACTCTCCAAGCTGAGCCCCACTCCCGGGGAGCCTGTCCCTCTGCCTCCCTCAGGTCGGAGGAACGCCCTTCCTGGCTTTCCTGGGCCAGGGGCTTCAGGGCGCTGGTGACTGGCTGGGCCTCCTTGCGTCCTTCCAGCCCCGACCCTGCAGTGCCCCACTGTAGGCGCTGAGGATGGGGCGCAGTGATGGGGCTGACTGTGCTGACGGCTGGTAAGTGTGACTCCACTCACCGCCCAAAGGGCTGCCCAGCCATAGGACGACTCACCAGCAAGCTGGCAGCTCCAGGACCCGCTAGTGTGGGTTCATTAAAACCCAAACGAGGGGCCTGACCCCACCAAGCAGTCTGGAAGGTGCTGAAGGCAAACATGCTGGGTGGGGGTCTGGCAGGAGGTGGGGACATGCCCCCCATGCCACGCCATCTCCAGGGCCTGTGGCGGCTGGGCGTGAGTGAACTGCCTCCCACTCGCTCAGTCTTGGGGCTTAAATGAATAGGTGTCATCTTGTAATTAAAACAAGACGAAAAACAAAGTAAAAACCACGATAGCAGATACACTGGGTGCTTTAAATGGATTTGTGTAACATACAAATAATGTCAGTGGGCTCATTTGACTAGAATGCACAGTGGAACAGGACGCGACGCCACGGGGAGGTTGGCCGTGAGTCTCCTCCCCTCCCTCACGCCAACACCTTGCACGTGGCCGAGCACGGTGACAGGTCTGTCCTCCTCGAAAACTGGGCCACGGGCTCCAGCCTGACTGCCAGGCTCCATGGGGATCACTCAGTGTGACGGCTTCTGGGCATGCTGTGGCCACTGACGCCTGAGTGTGTCCCTGGGCTGCGAATCTGCCCGACCACACTCCACAGACAACATTCTGTCAGGTGCACTGCTGGGGGCACCCACCATCGGCACCCGGAAACGGCAGAAGCTAGGGACAGGGCCATGGGCCATTTTGTAGTTGTCCCACTCGTGGGGACTGAACAGGACAGTCAGCATGTCACCGGCACCCTCTTAGCTTCGTGGTTTCCTGCCGGGTCTGAAGCCTGTGCAGAAGCCCGCGGGCACGGTCCAGCGCCCTCTGGCGCCCAGGCCAGAGCAGTGCGCAGGTCCCGGGAGCTGGGATTTGAGAACTGCTGTGACCCCCAAGGGTCTGACCTGCGCTTGCCAGCGGCTGTCGCCAGCTGCACTCAGAACTGCACTTCACCACTGTAGCTGCATATCGACAGCAGACACCTGGAAGGCAGCAAAGTTAAGCCAAACTGAACGCGAGTTCCATTATTTTCCTGAAGGGTGTGCAGACATCTGGGATACTCATCGTCCAACAGACAGAAATTCCATTCCTCCTGCGGGTCCTGCCCAGGGCGTCCCCTCCAGTCCCACGTGTGTCCATGACATCCCCTATCTGTACATACTTGCCTTCGTCTCAAAGGTTTATCCTCAAAACTCAGAAGCGTGGCAAAAAAATAACCACGGTTAGAAACGTTTACACCCGGCCCCGCTGGGAGGTTCAACATGAGGCACGCGGGGAGCTGAGGCACCTTCTCATCCGCTGGCGGCTGCGCATGGTGCTGACGCATTCAGGGCCCCATGTCCCCACAGTGAGGGGCCTCTCCTGTGCTGGCAGCTGAGGGGATGGGCCGACGCTGGAGCTGGGCTCTGAAGCCCGAGCAGCGCTCACGGCTGTGAAGAGGCTGTAAGAGGTGGCATCTGGCGGTCAGCGCGGGCTAGTGCACCCAGGAGCCCTCCCCGCGGTTCTCGTGAGACTCGTGGGACGGGAAGCTTGCAGACGAAAACTGAGGCCCTGAGATTGCCGGGGACAGGCTGCCACGCACGTCCCGGCCCATCTCTGCCCGCAGCCCTGGCACAGAGCCGCCTCAGGGCCACACGACACCGGGCAGGATGCAGGCAGGATGGCTCGCACGCAGCTCAGCGGCTGGGGCGCCCATACACCTGTGAGCCGACAAGCAGCAGCAAGGCTGTCACCCGGCTGCCTCCGTGAGACACGGCGCCGAGAGCTCAAGGTCTGGCAGAGGCTGGTGAACGCGGGCCAGCCTCCCTCAGGCCCCCGGACGCCCTCTGACCCCTCCTCATGGCCGGTCATTCCCTGCTGCTCACACTCTCACGATCCCCAGCAGGGCCCCAGCTGCGTTTCTAGGCTGAACTCGGGCTTTCACACATCAACGGTTGGACGCCTTCTCTAACGCCTGGTGGTGCTGGCTGACACTTCAGTTGTGGCGGTACTGTCATGTGTGTCTAGAGCAGGGCTCATACTATTATTTGGGTGTTTTATTTAATTTTGCTTTTCCGATGAAAATTACTGAAAAAAAACCCCAGATGTGCTGATGTTAGTGATAAGTTGAATGAGAGGATAATGGTCACAAGTGCTGACCAGGCAGGTGCCCACTGGACTTAAACTGGCCAAGTGGAAGTTCAATTGTGAAAAAACAAAAATGAAGAACGTGAAATGCTAGAAATGTGGCTTCAAATTTTGTGTCTAAAAAGCAAGGTGAGGTGATGGGAGAAACCGTGAGCTTTTAGAACTACGGACTGATAGCCCCCAGAACCAAAGCTACCGAGCGTGCCGCCTGCAGGAAGATGTGGTCAGGCTGCGTGGCCGCTGAAATGTCTCCTGGACGCTCTCCATGAAGCCTGAGGCCAGGCTGCCCTGCCGCCAGGCCCCCAAAGACACTCCATCTTCCAGTCTCATGGGCAGAGCTCAACCAGGAAGGTGGAGCCAGGACAGGTCACTGTCTGTGTCCCACAGGGGCACAGGAGGGACACTTGCCAGCTAGGCATTTATGACATTTAAATGTTTGCAGGACTGAAACCCACTTGAAACACATACGCCCACTGTGGACTTCGCATGCGTTGGTCAGCTTTCAGGACAGCAGTCATGCACCGTGCAGCTTCCACAAGCTCAGCAAGCACGTGGGGGCTCCTGCAGCCTGAGGGGGGACCCTGGGCCCACGTGACAGGAGTGTGCCTGCAGCCTTGCAAGAGCGGGAGGGGAACGTTATCCCGTCCTCCCTCTGACACGCGTGGCCCCGGTGAGGTAATGCACACATTTCTTGATACCTTTTAGGTAACTGCGACATAAGGGACTGTAATTAACCCACAAGCTTCTTTTTCAACCTGGCGTCGTCCCGACTAGTGGGGTGAAGGGGAGCACGTTGCCATCCCAGCCAAGTGTGAGCATGTTGCCCACCTGGCAGAGGAAGTCAGGACAAAATTCACCTCTGGAGACACAGTCATCGCTGAACACGGCATCACAGGTGAGTCATGAGCATCACGTGACAAACTGTGCCCCAGACGACAGATCACATGGGCGCAGGGGCCATGCCTACGAGCGGGTCTGCATGCAGGACCGTCTCAGGCCTCCTTGTAGAGCTGAGTTCAGAACGCCACCCAGCAGGCGGGTCACCAAGCTGCCACCCCGACACTGCAAGGACCTTTGCAGAATTTCAAACGTATCACATACAAGCTGCCCCCAGACCATCAGGAGAACCCTTTATTCTGTTTATTACTGCTTCGCTGCAGAGAGGAGCCACAATCACAGCTGCTGCCTGGGGTAATGGTGCTGCTGGGCCGGAGAGCCACAGACGTGGGCAGGAACCGGTCGTCTCTCCAGCGTGGCTGCCCCGAGGCTGGCGGACCCTGCAGAAGCACCGAGAGTCTTCTCAGTCACTAATGGAAAGCTCAGAAACAGTTCTCAAGAACATCTAAGCTCCGTCTGCTCGTGTCACACACATTTCAACACTTTCTCACATGTCACGTGCCCTTTCCAAGGGGACCAGCACACACTTGCCTAAGTGCTGCCTCTGCAGCAGCCCCGAGAGGCTGATGGGTGGCCTGGGTGCGGGGCCTGGACAGCCTCCAAGGCTGGGTGAGCCCCCTCCTCCTGCTCTGCCAGGTGCCTGGGGGGCCAGACTCTGGGCCGGCCCTCTGCTGGGGAGCCTAGTAAATTCAACAAACAAAATGATCAAGGCGTCAAATGACTTTGCAACATGATAAGGCAAACAAGGGGTACTTTTTAGTTTTAAAGGCCGTGTGTTGATTCCAAAAACACATTCCGAGTGCCCAGGAGTGAGGTCTTGTGCTGTGCCGGGGCTGACGGCCCCCGAGGCGGCAACTGCATGCACAGTGCCCACCAGGAGGCCTTCTCTGTAAGATGGCTGCCCACTGCCAGGCCCGGTGTCTGCTGTCAGCGGACCCTCCCCCTGGAGCATCTGTGCTGATGACGACAAAAGTCAAGAGTTACAATCAATGGGCACCAAACGGAGGGCGGGTCCCCTGGGGGTTTGAGAGCACCCAGTAGGGAGGGTCAGGTCCCCTGGAGGGTGGGGTGAGGAAAAGAATCACAGCCTTGTCATGGGAGCAAGCGGGTCGGGCAGGTGGGTGGAGGGGGACGGCCTCACGAATCAAGCAGCAGTGGGCACAGGTGTGGCTGTGGGTGAGCTGAGGAAGGACTTGAGGCCACGGGCTGGGTTGCCAGATGGCCAAGTGCGGATGTGGCGTCGGCATCGAAGCCGTAAGGGGTGTTAGGTGGGGGTAAGTGGGGAGCGTCCACCTGTAAAGAGGCCACCTGACCGCTGGTGCTCAGACAAGGGCCGTCCAGTGTGCTTCCGCAAGGGAGACCCCCATCTGCGACAGCCGCATGATCAGTGGGTCGTGGTATGCTCAGGGGTCAGCACACGGCAGCCCACGGGCCACACTGGCTGCTGCTTTTGTAATCGTTTTAGGTGGACACACATGTGCCCATTTGCTCACGGGCCACCTGCAACGTTCTGTGCACACCTGCTGCTCACAAGCAGCCTGTGGGCCCCACCCTGCGAAGAAGCGCTGAGGCTTCACGGGGCAACTGCTCAGTTCTGTGTTAGCTTCAGAAACGCAAACAGAAGGCGGTCTACACAACATCACCTCGGAACACGTGAAAACCGGTTAAAAGGCAACACATGAAGACACTCAGAGCATTACTGCTAATGAGGCAGATTGTGAGAAATTTGTTTCTCACACTTTCCACATATTTAAGAAGCTGCATGCCGGGCCTACCTGAGAGTCTGTGACACGCTAGTGTGACTTGGCGTCAGGCTGAGGTGCTGCGGGCCTCGGTGGGACACGCTGCCTGTGGGACAAGATGAAACTGATGCCCTGCTGCATTAAGAAGGCAGCCCACCTGCAGTGTCTCTTCACTCTGTGGCCCTGGCCCACTCCCCTGGCCCCGCCCACTGCCACCCTGGACCCGCCCACACCCACACCCACTCCCTACCCTGTCCCGCCCACTTCTCCCAGTCCCTGCACAGCCTTCACATTCGTCCCCCCTCCAGGAACACCCGTCCACATGGCATAAGTGTGCAGCATGCGCATCTCACAGCTCAGCCCTCTCTCTGTGCGTCCAGACCATTCAAAGCACCCTAACCAGTGAGCAACCTGATACCAAGGCCTGGGACAGGGCTGCTCAGGCCCGCTGAGTTTCATTCAGCCTGACTTCTGTGCTGTGGCCACGGGGCCTCTGCCTCCACTGGGGGTGGGCTTGGCTAGGGAGGGACACCCTGGCATGCAGAAGGTGCCCCATAAGTGCCTGGAGACCTGCACTCTTCCCTACGGACACAGAGCCTGCACTTTCTGCCTGCTGAACTCTCTTGGGTTTGTAAGAAACTTCTTTGGGGTGTGAATGGTCCCCAGTATGTTTTAGGTGCATCTGAGGGCAAATCTAGAAGACACTTCTTTTTATGCCTGAACTCCTTTGCACCCAGTTTTGCAGAATTTTAACAGAAGGCAGGAAGGAGGGGAGACAGCATTTAAGTGAGGCTCCCTCAGTGTCCTGTCGCGTCAGCCCTGTCATAGCTGAAGAACCTTGAAGAACCTGGGTCACACAGGTGAGTGCCTTCCTCCTGGCTGCACAGCACTGAGCAGCCATGGGCTGTGTGGACCCATGGGAGGCCCCTACCCGTGGGTGCACCCCTGAGCCTGCAGGTGACCCTCAGGAGAGCCAGCAGACGGCTGAGGACTCTGGAGGCAAAGCGTCAGCAGGCCGTGTGAATCCTGCTTTATACGTTCTGCACTTTAGTGTGGCTTGACATCTGGGGGCCTTGCTGATCCCAGAGACACGGTCCCCACCAGGGCTGGGGGTTTGCCTGCGGGCACAGCCGCCCAGAGCCTGTGATTCAGGCCACCTCCTCCATCCAGCGTTCACTCTGCTCGCACCACCAAGGTAGCCGTGCACCCCAACACCCCTAAACAATGCAAGCCAGCCACTGCCTTCCCAGGAGAGCCAGTCAGGGTTCTTGCCTACACCGCTCCACGCGTGCCCTGCCTCCCTGCGTGGCCACCTGCTTCCTGGTTCGAGGGCTCTGAGTAAACATGGCCGTCGTCTCCTGATCCGTGGGCCTCCCCACCCGACTCACAAACCCAGCATTGTGACACCCGGACAGGACCACACACAGCACTGTGGTATCTTCTGTTCAGCGATCACGTGCTCAGTGCTATGGGCGAGGGGGTCTGCTCAAACGGTTCCTTATTTACTCTTTACAGTAATTTGTAAGATAACTGTTGTCAACAGAGATGAGGAAACTGAGGCCTCACCAGGTCAACTCACAGGGGTCGTGTGGGCAGTGCTCTGGGGCCAGGTGTGGCCCTGGGCTCTGGCCACCCCATGGATGTCAGGCTCTCCGTCAGGGGAGGCCAAAGACGGGGGAGCCTCTGGAGAGCTCAGGGAGTCACGAAGGGGACGTCCCATATACAGGAGGCCAGAGCGGTGCTCCACGGCTGCAAGATTCCCTATGCCTGGGCCTCCGGTTTCTGCTCAGGAAAGCAATGCTACCTGATGCATGTTAGAAAAGTTTTCACCTGAAAATTAAATGAAAAACATCTGACATCTAAGAGGGTAAGTTTCGTTATCTGGAATACAGAAAACCCCACCTCCCGAAGGGCCAGGCACAGGGTCCATGGGTTGTGGATGAGGCCATGTAGCTCAGATGATTGACTGTGCCGATGGCTGAAGGACAACCCTCAGGTAAGTTCTGACGTGAGATCAGACATTTCTTCCAGGGGACGTATTGCAACACGGTTATCAATTTGGAGTCCGGTTACAGGGACTCTGACTTACCCATGCGTCCGTCTTGAGGTGGACTAATCACAGAGATTCTTGTCGGGCCGGCTGCTATCTCAGGCTAAGAACACAAAAAGAAAATGGCTGATGATGTTCCAAAGCCCATTTAGGACAGCGAGACTCACCCTGCCTACTAAGAACAGCCGCTAGTCAGCCTGACACATTTCCGGCTGACCCCGGTTTGCCTGGAACGTAGGTCTCGTGACGACGGGATGTTCCCCTACTGGGCCCCCACTGTCCCACCAGCGCCCACAGCACTGAATGGACAAAGGACTGAATGCTTTTAAAAGTTTCAGAAGCAAGAAAAAGCAAACTGAGCTCTTGGCTGATGTCAGGAAAATTAAAATCCTGAGTAAATCCTCATTTGTGCTGCAGTCTGTCACCTGGAAATTCAGACGCTGGTAACCAGCAGGGGGCGGTGTGTGCAGGGTCCTGCTCCGAGCCTCGCACACACCAGCACCAGTGTCACCTGGCAGTGTTCACAGCCCCATCCCCACCAGGGACCCCAGAGCCGGAGCAGGAGGGACAGGTCATTCAGCCCCAGCCCCCTCTGGCCCCCGGGGCCTGGGGCGGGAGACGCACACACAGGCGCTGCCCCTTTCTGGTGGTTAGGCTGCCGTCCCCTCATGTCCACAGCCTGTCCTGCCTCATTCTCAGGCCCCGCCAGGTCTCAGGGTCCCGTCCTACCTGTGCCTGCGCCCTGGCACACCCACCCCGACAATCCTGGGCCCACCCGCGGCGGCCTCACTCCAGGGCTGTCCCCTCATGATGTCCACCTGCCACGTATGTCCACTGCAGGCCAACTCTGACCAACAGGCGCAGTGCGTGAAACCTCAACGGAGAAAACTTACTTCCACGTCGTAAGAACAGAAGTAACTACTGTCAGATCAGAACCAGGAAATCGTGTGCCCCCATGCTAGCTCCTCACTTGCAGGCAGCAACAGGCTCTGTGCCTCCCACCTGCTCTTCCAGGACCCCAAGCTTGGCGCCGGGTAGCGGGGAGAAGGGACCAGCACAGGCTGCTGTCACGAGGCCTTGTGTGGCTGCCAGCTCGGTGTTCTTGCCCTTTGTCCCCAGCAGCCCACCCTGATGTGAAGCCCGCGGCTCTGGCCACTCACCTGTGACAAACTCTCTGGGGTGGGGACCCCACCAAGACCATTGAGAGAACGCTATTTCTGGGGGCCCCACAGCAGGTCAAGGACTGGGAGCCCTGGGCTCTGCTCCAACACTGCAGGCTAGTCCTGCCTGTGCCATCTGGGCAGTCTCCCGGGGACTCTGCTTGGGGCTTCCAGGACACATGGTTCATTCAGCCCATTGGGGGCTCACAGCAGCTCTCCCCAAAACATTTCTATGCACCCACTCCTGGGCAGATGGAACTCGGGAGGCAAACAACTGGCTGACGAGTTTTCCTTGAGAACCTGCGTTCTGCTCTGGCCCAGGGGTCCGCACGCCATGGCCCACACCCCATTTCTGTTAGTCAAGTTTTACTGGAACGCAGCTGCACCCACTGTTTCCACACTGTCAGCCAGAGGCGAGCGGCTGGGGCAGACATCCTGCTCCACAGAGTCTCAGCCACTCACGGTCTGGCCCTTGATACAGACACTTGCCCACTTTGGAACTGGAAGTTCATTGCATTCTGGTCCCTCAGCTGCGATTTCCAAGGAACACCAGTGACATGCAAGTCACTTCAGCCTGTCAGTCTTTAGTCTCTGAAAAGAGGCCACACGTGGGCTGAGGCTCTGGTCCAGCCTTGGGGGCACAGATGAGCCTGGAGCTCCAGGGGAGGCCCCCTCAAGAGCTGTGTGTCAGGCTTGCAGGCTAGTGGGTGAGGGCTTGGCGCAGGCACCCAGGGCCAGGAGGGCTGCGTCGCAGCCACGCCCGAGTATGGCGGGAAGTGGGTACTGGCTGGCAGACATGGTGCATGGGCACTGTGGGGAGGTGAGTGGGGCTGGGGAGGAGGCTGCCGAGGGCTGGGGGCTCCTACCCCAAGCTGCACGCTCTGCATTGCCGCCACTTCACACCAGGCTCCAGGTCCTGCAGAATCTGGTTCTAGGAAGCTGCCTGGTTGGGAGCGCCTCTCACTGGCAGGTTGCCAGGGGCTGCGGTCGTGTTTGTCAAGTGCTCGTATGAGGTGTGATCAAAATAGGTGAATATTTAAATTTAAAAAAGCCTTATTACAGTAAAAGACACATTGCCATTAATCCCCCTCGCTTCGAGCACACTCACCCCACCATTCCTGCCACTTTCTGAGGCAGTTCTGGGAGTCGTGTTTCGTGAGTGTCTTTAGCAGTGCTGTCATGGCCGCCTCGATGTCCTGAATCATTTTGACTTTGGGGGAAAAGCCAGAAGTCATACGGAGCCAGGTCCGGTGAATAAGGTGGATGAGGACACACCGTAATGTTTTTATTGGACAGAAATTGTCACACCAGAAGCGATGTGTGACACGGAGCGTTGTCACGATGGGGGATGATTTACAATTCACTTTAAAAACACACCTTCTCTCAACCGTAGCTCACACCTGACTGAGTGCACTGAACCAGTTGAAACTTGTCACACACTGTTACTAAGGTTTGACGTGCCACTTCCCATACTGATGATCCGTCTTTCCATTGGATGGCACTCGGCAGCAGCATTCACCGTATTCTGTGATCACACTTCGTAGCAGTGCTTGCAAACAACAAGCACTGAGAGGGCTCAGAGCCACGTCTCCACTAAGTCTGTCACCGGCACTGATACAGGTGGGTGCGCGGCTGCCATGGAAGCCTGCTCCCGCCCCGTACTGCCAGGTGACCGACACTGGGCTCGGCCCGAGTGCGCAATGCTGGCTGGGCCTGGCTGCCCTGCATTTTGGCCGTGGTTCCTCTGGTCTTGCTTCTCTCCAAGTTGAAGCTATTCCCTCCCATTGCTGACCCACCTTTACCTGACAGGGTTTGTCCTAGTTTCACCCAGCACCATCTCCACCGCTTGTCCAGGCCACAGGGGAGAACCGTCGTGACATGCACGGTGCTCTTCACCAGCGCTGGGACATGCTGGGTGATGCACATCCAGGAACAAGCAGCAGGCGCACTTACCCTTCTCCTCGGGGAGGGCGTGAGGTCAATGTCCATGGACTCCACTCTGTCAAGTAAAAGTGAGACACTCTGACTGGGCCTGGGCCTTCTCTGCAAGGGAACACGTGCATAGCGCCCCTGAGCAGACACCCACTCCTCTGTGGGCATGGGGCCCTGAGCTCAGAACTGCAGGCCCCATCACTGTCACTTCCCTCCCTTTTACTGAAAAACCAAACACAAACCCCCACACAGAGCACAGAGCACAGCCCCAGCTCTGGAGCCTCCGTCCCTTGAGGGCCCACACGGTCTTCTCACCCAGAGCCTCTAGTTCTGGGTTCGTCCAGCTCCTGCGACCCGCCCACAGCTGCAGCATTTCATTTACTCACCTCAACACTGCAGGCCCACGCGCTCTGCACAAACAATCCCAAGAACGGCCCACGCGCTCTGCACAAACGGCTCTGCGAACGGCCCACACACTCTGCACAAACAGTCCCAAGAACGGCCCACACGCTCTACACAAATGGCTCCACTAACGGCCCACGCGCTCTGCACAAACAGTCCCAAGAACGGCCCACGCGCTCTGCACAAACAGCTCTGAAACGTTAGTCCCTTCACTTGGTCAGTGGCTGACAGGGAAACGTGATTTGGGCGTCCCCAGAGGACAGACAGGCAGAAAGAACAAGGACAAAGGCAAGAGGAGAGTGACTCGGTCACCTTCCGAGGCATGCTGAGCACCACAGGCCGCGCTGCCAGGACTCGGGACCCACAGGCTCTCAGGCGGCCTATCACTGGCCCTTTTGTGCTGCATGTGTCCCCAATTCCCATCATTTCAAGAAAACACAAAGATGGAGGAGGGACGCACTCTAGGGGCCGTTGGCTAGGCTGGGACGGAGTCCCCAGTGGGGCCGCCAGCACAGTCACCATCTCTTGTCCTTCCCTTGAGCTGAATTTGGTCCTGAGCCACCATGACCACACATCCAGTGACACCACTGCTCCAGCCCAGTCACATGGGCACTCCCCAACCAGCCACGATGTCCACAGGGCAGGGCTGTGATTGGGCAACTGTAACGACACCCGACTCTGGGACCTCCCACAGTAAGAGCTGGGGCTAGGCATTGCCCAGCATCCAGTAAGTGCCCAGAATGTGGGGACGTGAAGAGGAGAAGGAATGGGAAGGGACTGTGTGAAGCAAAAGAAGGACTAGTGCATTATCATTGTCGCCCAAGGAGCCCCACAAACTCCCGGACCAGTCGTACGGGACGCACACACCTCTCGGAGGCCGGCGAGTTGGGGGGCAGGAGCAGGCATCTGTTTGGCTTTGCCGAAGGGGCTGTGAAACACACCTCAGAGCTCAGCATGTGGGCTGCCGCTGGCAGCACCATCTTCATATCCTTCCCCGGCAGGCACAACTCCACTTACTTGAAACTGGGTTTTTGATTGTGCTGAAAACTGTTTCTTGTGACGATCTCATACTAAACAGATGGGAAAAGGGGTTAATTAAACCATGAAAACTTACTTCCAACCAATTCATTCCAATTGAAAGTACGAGGGCCGAGACAGGCAGACGCTCTCCCTGGGCTGCGCCCGGCCCCTCACCAGCCTCATTTACCCCCCACATGCTCACTTCCCACCCTCAAAGCTCCCTGAGGACAAGCCCCAGGCCTGCCAACCCTGCTGAGGACACAGCAGGCGCTCAGTAATGACTGACCATGCTGGCAGCGCTGGGGCTCAGCTCCTCGCAAGGGCACTCGCTTCTCCTTCCAGTGACTCAGAAAAGCTGGGTGTGTAGGAGGGTAGCCCCCCAACGACACCACCATCACAGAAGCCGGCACCTGAGGACCATGAGTGGGGTTGCCTCCCGCTCCTGGGAGCAAAGCGCAGGCCACACCAGGAGTGCATGCAGTGAGTCCCCGGGAGGACCCAGTGCTGATCGCCACCACGCTAGACACACTCCACCTCGAGCAAGAGCCGAGGAAAACACGGATTTCAGGTATAGGAAATAAACTGCCCGTGAGACACAAAAACACACAGGCAGCACGGTAGTGAAAAGGACCAGGAATGTTTTAGAAGTGTAATAAAACAGCAGTCAAATCAAGGCTCGGTGGATGTGTGAGCAGCAGAGCTGAGGAGCCGGGCTGCACACTGATCTACAGGTCTGAGTGCACAGCCCTGCAGGGCTGCTGTTCGCCCAGCTGGCTGCGTGCGCACCTACCACATAGGCCCTCTGAATATTCGATATTCGGCACGTTCACAACAACAGAAATGATACTGTGTGCCCTTGACCACCGGCATGGCGGAATGCACGTGACGTGACACCGTGTTCACTGCTGTTGTCTTAGCCAGCCCGGCACAGACGGATGAGCGGCCAGGCTGCCAGCACCCCCCTTTATAACCGCTACCCCCACAGCTCTTCCCCTCACCCCAGGAATCACGGGGAGCCCACCAGGAACCATCCGTGCTTTTCCACTTTTTCTTTTTCTCCTCTGTTCTTCCCTTGGCTTCCCACCACATTTCTGCTGTGAAGGAGCTTTCTTCTGCTCCCTGGGTGTGGCCCGTGTGGGAGACGGGTGAGCAGACACCTGCATGCGAGCTGAGGGAACCCACCTGTGCAGCTGCTCCATCCGCAGCACAGACTTCCTGAGGGCGTCTTCCAGCTTAGAAATCTAGGTACAGTGAGGGGACTTCAGTTAGCACACAGGCTGTGCCAAGTGACAGTGTGAGCAAAACGTGCAGGTGCTCTCATTTCTTAGACCCTGAATCAGGACGTGGCTCACGTGGTTTGTAGTGCACGTGCATCACATGAGCCTGGCACGCAGGTCCTGCGGGAGCTGAGATGAGTGCCTGCCAGTCAACCTGGGGGGTCTGCACGAGCACCCATGAGCCTCAGCGCACCAGTCTCGGTGGCCCCGTCAGCGTATGGGCCCCAGTGCCAGCTGGCAGCTGTGAGACCTGCAGGCCCTCACCTACAATGTCTGACCCTATGTTTGCCTCTGGACAGCATGGTTACCATCTTCTTCTCTCCGGCACTGCTGTGAGGACTGACCGGTAGGTCACACAAAGGCTTGGTCAGGGGCCTGTGGACATGATCCTGGGCAGGGGTGGGGGCAGATGGCGCTGTGGCTGGGCGGGGGCGGACCGGACAGCTCTGTGGACACTGCCCACAGGGATCAGGGCTGGGCACTGATTCTGCCCCTTCAGCCGATCTCTGAGCAGACCTGCCGCCTGGAGCACATGAGGGGAGACGGAAGGAGCACCAAGCACTCAGCCGGTCAGGCCTACGGGGCAGTGCCACCCTGACACCGCAATGTCCGACACAGATGTGGTGGGGCCACAGGACTGACACCAGTGGTGGGACAGCTTCCACACTTGAGAAGGTGGCTTCAAAGCCAGCTGCTGACTTTACTTACTCCATGACCTTCGAAGGTCTTACAAAAGGACCTTTCTAGAAAACAAACACACTGGTATGTCTGAATGGAGAAGTCTAAGCTGCCTCCTGTGCTACAGGCCCTGACATCACTTCTGGCCGGGTGAGGAGGAGGGTCCGTGGGGCATGTCCTGTAGAGGGTGTCTCAGGCGTGGCCCATGAGGGGTAGGCCCTGTGGGCTGTCCCGTGGGCCGTGTCCTGTGGGGGTGTCTCCAGGGGGGTGTGGCCCCAGCCACTCTGAGCTGACCTTGCCCCTTTGCCCCCCACCTGGCTCTCCCGCCTCCTCTCCATGTCACCATCCCACCTGGAGGCCTAATCCCAGTCAGAGCTGAAGCTCCGATGAATGTCTATTTTCACTGAAGCTTTATTTTCCTTTGTTTAGTTTGGAAATCAAGGAAGGAAAATGTTTGTCAGGTAAACACCAGGCACCTTGAGCTTCCTTGTGTGAGAATCAGCCAGAGCACGTTAGTTGCTAGTCGCTGTTTATGAGGAAGTACCAGTGAGTTTGGGGGACAGCAGTGACCCCGACATAAAACTGGCTCAGTGACCAATGGCTGGGCCCAGAGCAGCAACAGGGCCGACAGGAACCGTGCAACGGGCTGAGGGCCCACAGGACAGATGTCGTCCGGCGGCCCTCCACACTGAGACACAGCATCGGGTGACAAGTCTGACAGGAAATCAAAAGGTCAACACTTGAGGCAAAAAAGGGACTGAATTTACCTTTTCTCTGTAGAAGGCTAACAGTCTCTTCCTGTGTTTTTCTTGAAATTCTGAAATCTGAGAAGATAACAGATGTCAGCTGCTAACACTGGCACATGGCCGTGCTTGCACCCCCCTGCCCGCCTTCCATGATGTGGGTGCTGCCTGTGCCCAGAACAGGCTCTAGGATCGCAGCACAGTGAATGAATGACGCAGGGAGCAGGGCCAAGATGGCAGTGCAGTGAATGGATGAGTGAATGGCACAGCAGGCGCTCTGGAAAGCAAACACAAGCTAAAGTAGCATGTTCCACGTAGTTGGCAGAGACCCGGGGGCTGCTCTGTCTCCCCTCCGTATGCCTTAGGTGGCGCTCTGGGCCCGGGCCATGGGAAGGGACACGGCCCACAAGGGTCAATCACAGTGCACTGTCCCTTTGGCAATAGTGACTGGATCACAGGATGGCCTCCTGACCAAAAAGCACCCATGAGAACACCCTGAAACGACTACACGGACCAGGGCCAGGGTGGGTGGGATGAGCCAAGGTCGACAGTGATGCCGAGAGGCTGGCTGAGCCGAGAGCTTCCGAGAGCCAGTGACCGAGCCTGGGTTCCCAGGACCAGCTGTGCCTTCCATTCATAGGAGCCCAGCTTGCACGCTGGCAGTGCATACAGGCTGGACTGGGCCGGAGAGCACGCGTGACCAAACAGTGAGCGCTGACACTTCTCATCAGGGACGTTTTCAGGCAAAGAAATGAGAAGACCCTTCCGTGGAGTAGAGAACGGCCATCCCCCATGGGTCTCCAGTACCTCTGCTATAGCCATGGCCACCTCCAGAAGGCCTGGTCAGCAGTGACCAGCGCCCTCTCCACCATGTCCCGACCTCCTGGCTGCTGTGTGTTCCTGGGATTCAGAGAGTCCATGGGCACAGGGCAGGCCCCAGGTTAAACAGTCTTGGCCTCAGGCCGGCTTTATGCTCTTGAAGTTGCTGAGGACCCCAAAGAGCTTTGTTTATGTGTGTTTCAGCTGTCAATGTTTATCTTGCTAGAAATTCACACTGAGAGAAATTTAAAATATTTATTATTTAATTAAGAAAAACAATGAACCCAATAGGTTGACAAATAATGAGCTGCTATTTCCCATGTTGTAAGGTCTGCGGAAATGGCACTTGGCACCTGTGAGATGACACGGCATGACCCAGAGGCCTGGAGGGAAGTCACTCAGCAGCACCTCACGGTCCTCTCTCTGCACACCTGCGCGGGGCACGTGGTCTCATGGGGACAGTGGGCCCTGCACAAGGCCCTGGGGGGCGCCTGCAACGCCATGTCCTTGTCCAGACATTCCAGGTGCAGGGCTGCTGGTGTTCTGAATGCCGTGGGTGAGGCTCTCCCCCAATTCTCAAACACAGCAGCTCCGGGACTGGCTCCACTGTGACCGTTGCAATGACGTCGGTCCACATTCCTGCCTGGCTCTCATCTTATGTGAATGCTGTGTTCTAGGGCATCTGTGTGTCCCCTGCGGAGCCTCCAGGACGAAGGGTTACAGCCATGGCTCCATGGGCACTGAGCCGGAGAGCAGCCTCCCAGAGGATGGACAGTCTTGGTGGGCTGGCTGACCATGGCTTCCAGACGGACCCGCCCACGGACCAAGGATGGTCCCCTCAGCCTCTGCTGGCTGCTCACCTCAGGGCCTCTTCAGGGGAGTGCAGGTGGGAGGCAGTCCGCGGCACGTTAATGGAGGAGGGAAGCAGGTGGGCAGGGCAGAGGCAGGGACCCTCCCGTTCTGGGCAGCTTCCTGGACAGCCTGGAGGATGTTCAAGTCAGCCATGGGGGGCAGGACCAGGGGTGGCACTGGGGCTGCATTCCTTCACAACCTATGAGCTGGGGTGGGGTACAGCGGGCAGAGCGCGGAGCAGGAAGGGCTCGGGGTGTGTGTGTCAAAGGCCACAGCCCGGTGACCCTCAGGAAAGAACAGCTTCACGAAGCAGCTGCTGCCCAGAATCCAGATGGGCTGACCGGGGGGCCTGTCCAAACCCGAGATTCTAAGGTCCGTCCTCGAGTCATGAGGATCAGCAGGGCATCGGACCAACGAACACCGTGTGTCAACCATGGCAAGGACAGAAACGGTAACCACAGAGCAAGCAGACAGGCCGAGCAGTGGAGACGGCACAGCACACACCTAGGTGTGAGCCCACTTACCCCGGGCCCGCGACCCCATGGCACACCAACCTGGGAGGTCTCCTTGGAGTACTTCTTGCACAGACTGTCTATACCCGCAAACAGCGCCTGGATACCCGAGTCCGTCTGGAAGAGAGAGAGAGAGGCGTCTCCATTTGCTGACTCTGACCACGCATTCACGGCCACGTGTTCTAAATTGAACTGAAGATCCGGAAGGAACCCAGGACAGGAGTGACCAGCGCGTCCCACTGTCTCCAAGAGGCACTGGGGGATGCCTGCCCCCTGGCTGCCTGGGGCTGTGGGGCGAGGGCAGTGCCACCGCCCAAAGACGGGAGGAGGCGTGGCCTGGCAGCCGGTGGAGCCTTCTGGGCCACGTGTCCTCATCTGCCAGGCAAAGGCTTGAGGCCAGGGGTGAGCGCCAAGCACCAAGGAAACACTGAGGTCACAGCGTGCCATCGTCACATGCACGGGGAGCACGAGGAGCTGAGGGGGAGAGCAGGGTTTCCGGGTGGTGTCCACCTACTTACAGACCCGGTGAGACACACACTGGCCACTGCGTCCCCAGCACTGATGTGGGAGGGAAGGATGAGGACACAGCAGGACCAAGTAAGGACACTCTGGACCCAGAAGACGCAGGACAGCCTCATGCCCCTTCCCAGTCCGGTCCTGGCTTCAGAACCACAAGTGTGACACAAGCATCAAGATGGCAATTTGGGCCCACCCATTTAACCTACTTGTGCTCCCCAAATTCCACGCAACGACAGTGAAACTAAATTTGGGGGAAGTAGCCCCGTGGTAAGGAGGAGGAAACGCGCCTGAATGGCCAGGGCCTTAGAGAGACGCCTGGAGGAGAGCAGGCGACTCTGGCTGGTGAAGCGGCTCCAGGATCCCTAGGCCGCAGGGTCCCTAGGCCCGGCCACTGAAGGCACAGGGGGTCTGGGTCTGGGGCCAGAGAGCCCTGTTCTGCACCAACTTGGCCTGCCACGCTGGGCCCTGGCTGCACCCTTTGGATCCCCCACCCCAGGTCACAGAAAATGGGAGAGCACTCCCAACAGAGCGTGGCCGCCTGGTACTCAGAGGTGGAGAGACAAGATGTCACGTGCGATGCATTACACCTACACAGACGCACCCAAAACAACATGATTAGCTCTCCATCCAGAAACAGAAGCCAATGGAAATGCTGTTGCTAATGAACCAGGTCCATGGCCTCTGTGAGGGGGAGCAAGTCATTGTGCACGTGGGAGACCCCGAGTGGGACAGAGGTGGTGTGACTTCACTCTACACTGAGAGCCACCCCGAGCGGGACAGGGCGCATGGAACAGACGGCCAAGAGTCTCCCGTCTAATAACTGACGTCACCTGAAGCCCAGCAGGTCACTACACCCTCCACAGCCAACCGGTGAGAAACCAAAGCAAATGGAGCAAATGGAGTGATACCACCCAAGACATAGAAAGCATTCATTTTCAGTAACGATTCTAACCCCGGGGAAGATATGCATTTGCAATAAAGGCAAGCAGAGCAATGCTGCAGAATTTGTCACCAACAGGCCTCACCAAAGGACCTGACAAAAAGAACTCTCTTCAGGGCAGAAAAGGACCCTCAGGGACAGCTGGGGACTCAGGGACGTGGGAGCCCTAAGGAGCATTAACTGAATGGAGCAGTAATGTCAGTGGGGTTTAGTATAGACAGAGAACAAAACACACACAGCAGTCGGAGGCCAGGTGGGAGGAGGTACGTGTGGCCAAGCACCTGGGGCCCGGCTCTGCCGGGGGGCCCCATGTACACAGCCTTGTAAAGGCCGTATGCTGCAGTCTCTCTGGTCACACACATGAGTGCTTCCTGGAGCCGAGTTACACACTTCTAATTTGTGTACTTCTGTGCACTGTACTTCAATAAAAGTCAGCAAAAATGGTAACTAAAATACCCAAATATTTCCAAACTAATCAATATATACATGGGTCACGGGTCATCAAGTAGAAATTTGAAATGATTTTGAAGTGAAGTAATGAAAATATAACACAGCTGAACATACGTAACACAGGCAAGGAGGAACAGAAGTGAAAGGTAGGACCCTACGATACACATGTTAGAAAGGAGAGGCTGAAGTGGATGCTGAGCACCATCTTACAGAACAACTAAACCAAAGGAGAAACTAAAACGATACGGACGATTAAAAAAATGGAAACAAATGTCAACTAGAGATAAACAGAGCCAAAAATTAGTTCTTTGAAAGACACTAATAAAAGTCCATAAACACTTGACAAGACTGTTCAAGAAAAGAGAGAGAAGGCACAATAACCACTAGTAAATGAAAAAAGGACCTCATTACAGACATTATGACACTCAAAACACCAGAGGACTGCAAACACGTTGATGACAAGATGCTGGAAAATTCAGATGAAGTGCACCAATTCCTAGAAAAATACAACTTACTTAAATTGATCTAAGAAGAATCAGGAATTCTGAACAATCCCATATTTTAATAAAGAAATTCAGACCCTAAAGAAGTTCAGAACCTAAAGACCTTCTAGGTTCAGACAGCATCACATGTGAATTCTCCCACACATTTTTTTCAATAAACCCCGTCTTCCAGAGAAGAGAAAATGAAGAGAATTCCCACCTCCTGTCATGAAGCCAGCACAACCCCGATTCACCAAAACTTGAAACGGGCATGAAACGGGGAAGCAGCCAGTTGTCACATGAACACAGGTGCAAAACATACAGGCTAGGCTGCCTCACAACCAGGACGTCTTTATTCTTGGAAGCTAATGTGGGTTTAAAATTCAAAATATAAGTGCAATTCACCTCATTAACAGAATAAAGTAGAAAAGTCAAATGCCAATCTCAATAGTTACAGAAAAGCTATATGATAAAAACCCTTAGCAGAAAACCTATAGTGTGCATAATACTTCACAGCAAAACACTGCAAGTTCCATCCTGAAATCAGGGAGAGACGCAGGATGTCTGCTGTCGCCACCATTTCTACCCCACCTGGTACCGGAGGTCCAGGCCAACGCAGGAAAGAGAAAAAGGCAGAAGGACAGAAGGGGAGGAATGAAGCAACTGCACATCTAGAGATGACACGACTGTGAACAGAGTCCAGAAAAACCTATAGAGGGCCGGCAGAGGGGCGCGATGGTTAAGAACTGGCTTAGGACGCCAGAGGGCCCCGGTTCGGATCCCATATGTGAGGATCAGTGACACTGCCCTCCACAGCTAAGATGCTAAACAGCAGCTCAACCTGGAGCTGGGCTGCTGTGGGCAGCCTGCGACGGAGTAGGCTGCAGCCCCTGTGGCAGTCGGTTGCCATGGGCTACCGTATGTAGCCGGCAGCCAGCATGAGCGGCCGGCAGCTGCAGTGAGCGGCCGTCCAGAAGCTGGTGACTGATCTGCCTCACCCGGGAAGAGCGCAATGATGGTGCCAACTTGGGCCAGTGAAGCAATGTCCTCCACAACTAGACTGAGAACAAAAAGGAGAGCAACTTGTCTGTTCCCCTTCCCCCAATTCCCAGCAATGTTCCCATCCCCCCAATTCCCCAATAAAAAATCTTTAAAAGAAAAGAAAAACCTATAGATACATCAACAGAAAAGTGACTTGTGCAAGGCCATCGGATGTACATGAACGAGCAAAGTCCACTGCATTTCACACACCAGCAGTAAGCGCTGAAGAGATGGACTCAAACACGCTGGCAGCACCCACTCCGGACTGTGGCTGCCTGAGGCTAATGCTGACGGCCTCCTCGCAGAAAACCGAAGTCCTTGCTGAGAAATCTGAGCGTACCTGAGTGAACGGCGGCATGCGTGTGCCATGTTCACGGGCTGGGAGAGCCAACAGCACACAGATGTCAGTTTTACCCACATTCTGACTACATGCAAGCCCAACAGAAACCCCAACAGGATTCTGTGTATAGAAGCTGCCAACTGGACTCCAAAACTTAGATGGAATGTGAAGGCTCATGTAGGCTAACGGTGTACCCGACAGCTCCCAGTCTCAGGGGCTTAGGGGGCATTTGTTCTTTCCGGAGCTTGGTGGGTGGCCTTCCACGGAGACCAGTGTCCTGTCAGCAGCTGCCCTCTGCTGGGCCTGCAGCATCCAGCTGCAGGTGGGGGAGGGCTCTTTGGGACACTGTTTTGGGGGTCAGACCCAGAGTGGCACTTCTCACGGGATGTAGGTGGGGAGACGGAGTCTCGCTGGATGTCCAGGCAAAAAGAAAGCAGGGATGAGAACAGCCCCCCAGCTGGGCCAGTCTGCCATTATAGTCACTGGTGTCCACTTCTCTCTTCCTCTACACAGGCAGGTCACCTCCCCACGGCGACCACCCCCCCAAAAATGCCCGTCACTGTGTCCACACCACAGCCCAGGGTCTTGGGTGGTCCTCTCCATCAGGTCCTGACAGGTCTGCAACCTATGAACTCTGCCCACCCCCACCATGATCAAAGTCTGACGGGGGGGACTGGGTTGGGACAAGTGAATCAACACCCCCAGTGGCAAGGGGGGAGGGGAGGACACAGTAGTCATGAGGACCCTGTAGGCGGCTGTCCTGGGCCTCCTACCTTGGAGTCATCTTGATTATAGACTGGCCTCTGCCATCCAAGGGGCCCTCCTGCCCACCCATCTGCAGCCCCTGGCTCTACCCACTGGGCGTTCTTCCTTGTCTATGGCTCCCCAAGGCCCTGTGGGAAGGGGGCTGTGATTACCGAAGGCCTCACAGTGTCATCTCACCCCTGGAGCCCAAAAGCACTGGCTGCCCATCTGTTCCTTGTGGCCGTCCCTTCCCACCTGATGGGAGAACCGGCCAGGTCCACCCACGGGCACCCCTTGGTCTGCACGTCCTGCTCTGCACCTTCACCAGAGGCTGCCTCCTGGGTCCCTGCAGGCTCCCGGTCTCAGTCTGCTCTGTTTCCTGGCCTCCCACCACCTGACAGATACGGCGGTGCAACACTGTGTGTGTGACAGTAAAGTCCAGTTTTAGTAACACACGAACTGACATATACAGGTATGTCAGGTGGTGACTGCACGGTGGGGCAAAGTGAGCGCTCTCCCATACAGCACCCTGGAAATCAGCTTGGCCTGTTGCAAGGCGTTTTTTTTTTTTTTATAAAGATTTTTATTGGGGAATTGGGGGGATGGGAACAGTGCTGGGAAATTTGGGGAAGGAGAACAGACAAGTTGCTGTCCTTTTGTTTTTCAGTCTAGTTGTGGAGGACGTTGCTTCACTGGCCCAAGTTGGCACCATCATTGCGCTCTTCCCGGGTGAGGCACATCAGTCGCCGGCTTCTGGACGGCCGCTCACTGCGGCTGCTGGCTGCTCATGCTGGCTGCTGGCTACATACGGTAGCCCGTGGCAACCCACTGCCACAGGGGCTGCAGCCTATGCCATGGCCGGAGACTCACAGTAGCCCAGCTCCAGGTTGAGCTGTTGTTCAGCATCTTAGCTATAGAGGGCAGTGTCACTGGCCCTCATATGTGGGATCTGAACTGGGGCCCTCTGGCGTCCCAAGCCAGTTCTTAACCATCGCGCCACTCGGCCGGCCCGCAAGGCCGTTTGTTTTAATGAAAGAAACTGATCAGAATAGAAGCCACCAGAGCGCTGCACTTAGCCAGGACAAGTGCTGTGTTGTGAAGCTGATTCCCTATTTGTGCACACACAGCTGCGTACATACGCAAATACCCACACACTCTGCCCTGGCAGCAATGGTCAAGGAAGCCACCGCCGTGTGGGACAGCCGCAGAAATCCGAGGGCAGTGGGCCAGGGCCAGGCTGCAGCAGGCCAGAGTTGTTGGCCTGGGGACCAGGTGGCCACCAGAGGCCGGGCCACAGAGCTACGGGCAGGAAGGGCTTGGGTTTTACACCGGGAAAGTTGGGGATCGTGACCCACATGGAGGTAGATCCCTCTGGTAGCAGGGTGAAAACAGAAGGGAGCTGCAGGTGCAGGGCTCACAATGGGGGTGGGGGGTGGGGACAGGAAGGGATGGCACCCTGAGGAGACTGCTAAAGAGCCCACAGAAGTTTCTGATGGGTTATACTGTGGGTGTGAGAGAAAGAGGAGTCAGGACCAACTTGTGCGTTTTAAACAACTTCACTCTCACACTCACAGGGAACAAAATCAAACACCCGCAGAACATGGAACAATTATGTATTAAGCTACATGAAAATCTTGGTAATTAAAAAAAAGAAACCATGTAGTCATATTTTTTTGTCACAGGGCCATAAAATTAAAACTTTGCCACAAAAAAATGATAGCAGAGATAAAATCTAACCACTTAGAAATTAAAGAATATTCTTCCAAACAATTCTTGAGTTAAAATAGAAGTAAAGAGAGAAATTAGAGACTATTTTGAAATAAGAGCAGTATTCGAAGTAATGTGGAATGGCAATGAACAGAAGGATGGTCCCAAATATATTTACTAGGAAATAAGAATGTAAATGGACTAAACATTCAACCCATGGAGGGAAAGGCTAGGGGCCCCCATCCCTCAGCTACAAGCCTGGCCAGCTGTGCTGTAATCGCTACTGAAACAGGAAGAGAGCTTAAAATGACACATTTGGAGGAAAACAAGGCATTGTCTATCAAAAATTTAAATGTTTACATCTTTGTCCTGGCTTTCCCACTTCTAGAAATTTATGCTACAGAAATATTCTTACAAGTATGCAGAGATATTAGTGAAAAATGTTCACTGTAAGATTGTTTAAAATAGTGAAAAACTGAAAAAAAAAACCCCCCAAGGTTTACCAGTAGAAAAATCCTGAAGTACTATGCAGTCATCTTTAAAGAGGGAGCATATGCCCAAAATATGTCAACTGAGAAAACACCAGTTTTGTAAGAAGATAAATTACAGTAACACAGACAGAGTGGGAACTCCACTCCTGGCTGCGGTCGTCTATGGGGACAGGGTCTGGGGGACTTTCACATCCTCCACTAATGACCTGTATCAGCCGCATTTTGGGTAAATTTGTATTATATGTGTAATTTAAAAAAGCAATCATTATAGATCAAAACACCAGATCAAATGCACACCTTGGAGCCCAAGTGTAAGGAGAACAATTATTTGTAATTAAATTGAAACCAAACAAGTTAAACTGATGTATTTTATAGAGGACAAAAGGCATTGTTTTAAGCCTACTGCAACAGTAGTCAAGTTTAAAGTTACTCTCCCCCAACCCTCTTAACTAGATATGGGCCCTTTGAAAAACTGAACCCCATCACTTTGTTAAGGAGCTTGTATTGTATGAAGAAGTCTATTCAACACATTTTCATTTCCAGGAATGCGGCACAGCAAACTTATGAACTGGCCAATCTACGGTTAAGAAAGAAAGTTGCAGGAGGTATTTGAAACCAAATCCTCATTACACACTGATTACTCAGAAATCTTGTAAGATCTTCTAGTTAACCCAACAAAGTGAATGAAAATTTCAGACACCACAAATGGCTAAAAATTAAATCTCAAGTTTAAGGGGAAACAACTGTGATCAATATTCAGATACTACACATTTCAACTTACATGTTTTGAAAGTAAAACTGTATGACAAGGAAGTTTACAAATCAAGCATTCATCCTTTTTACCTATAAAAGAAAAGTAAGTTTTATTATATTACTGTGAGTACTGTTTTTAAATATGTATAAGCGCAGGCTTTAAATTATAATGCTTCTTCAAAAAATATACAGGATTATAGCATTTACTTTTTTCACATTCAGATACTGGACGAGACTATGGGTATGGATACAGGTGAAAAAAAATTTATACAACTGACAATCCTTTTTTTCCTGCTTTGCAAATATGCCCCAAAGTAGCGGCCATAAGTATTTCTTACAATTAGATTTTACAGTGATATCTTAATTTGAAAACAGCTTCTCCCAGCCCACTCAACAGGTAAAATTTTTGTCCTGCCCGCTCAGGCTCACTTCCGCGCCACCAGGGCCTGCCCCCCGCACCCCATCCGCTCACTGGCTGAATGTTTTATCTTCACTGAGCTCCTGTTCCCTGTAAAGCAGTGCCCCTCGTGCCAGCGCCTGGCGTGGGGGCGGCAGGCCTGTGGTCCTGGGCTCTGCACCGCCGCCACCCTCCCTGCTTCGTTCCCCCCACCACCATCCCGGGGCGCTGGCCCACCTGCGAACGCGGCAGCCTCCGCACGCGTGTCCTCCGGCAGCGCCCCCGCCCCCGCCGCCTTTGTCTCCAGGCCCACGCGGCTGAGATCCAGGAGAAGCCTCAGCTGACTGAGAAGTGGCCTGAGACTCGGGGACTCTAACACCGCCGACTCTGCAGCCCGCCGGGCGCCCTCCACGCCTCTGGCGCTGCCCCATCCCCACGTGGGGGTCGGAACAAGCCCCCTCGCACCGAGGACCGGAGTCAGGGCCCTGCCCGCCCCACCACAGAGCCCAGGTCACTGTCCCTTCATCTCCGTCCTGGGGACATGCTCCTCCGGAGAGCCTGGGCCTGCGGGCTCCCCTCCCCCCCCGCCCCATCCCATCCCGTCCCGTCCCGTGACGGGCCGCCCGCCGCGCCCACCTTTGCTCAGGCAGCCGTCGCAGTACACGTGGCCGCAGCTGGTGAGGCTGAAGCACGCCGTGCGGCGTGGGGGCTGGAAGCAGCGATTACAGAACACCCAGGCGGCCATGGCGCAGGCGTCCGCCGCCTTCGTCACGACGCCCAGGCCACGCGACACCCACGTGAGACCGAGACGCGTCCTCCCGGCGCCGACCCCAGGGCGAGGAGTCTGCGCCTGCGCACGCGGCCGGCAATTCTACGCCTGCGCACCCTGAGCGCGCAGTCTCGCGCCTGCGCGCCAGAGTGCGCGCCGCTCCCGCCAAAATCTTGACTGGAAGGTGCCCTCGGCAGCCTGCTCGGCTTCTCGCCCCGCGCGTTGTTTTGGCTGCACGTCGGAGAGGAGCACGCGGGGTGGACCTGCCGTTCTTCATCCCAGCACCGCCGCCCCGTGAGTGTGCTGTCCAGGCCCCGGCGAGGGTGCCCCATCCGCGACACGGGCGCCGGGATGAGGGCCGCGGGGTGGGGTGAGGCCCTGACCGTAGTGACAGCCGGGTATGGCCGCCATGGTCTCCGTCCGGAGGTGGGTGAGGGGAGGAGGACCTGGGGGCCCAGGCGGACGGTGGTGCCCGGAGAAACAGGAAGGGGGCCGGGCAGCGGTGGCGGCGGGCAGCAGGGCACCCGGCAAACTGGCTGGACCACCGGCCTCCAACGCGCGCAGGTGAAAGGGCTCAGCTTGGGGGGCGGTTTCCCTTTTAGAAGGAATGATGGGGGGAGCTGCGGGAAGGGACGCCTTGTACTGTTCCTGCTGTAGTACCGTCATCACTTCTAAGCTTTAGTGTCAGTAAAACACACGGAAGTTACGTGTCGTGGAGTCACAGCCACGTGACGCCCTCTCCCCAGCTTGCAGGAGGAAGTGTCCGCCGTCCTGTGGAGGCGGCCACACAGTCACCGCGGCGCCGTGGGGACCTAGCGAGCAGACTCGGGTCGGGGAAGGCTTCTGGGCCAGTTACTCGTGGGGGGAGACAAGTCCTGGTCTCCAGGGGAGATGGGAGGAAACAGATTCGGGAGGAGGTTCAGGCGGGAGTGGCGCCTCCGCCGGCGCTGTGGGAGCCTCGGCGGCCACCGAGCCCGGGAGTTGTGGCTGGCCCAAATTGAGACGCGCTTTCGGTGTACAGCATACCTGGGTTTCCAAGACCGCATATCAAAAAAGGAGTGTAAGCTGCCTCGTTAATCATTTGATACTGGTTATATGTTACAGTGGTAATATTTTTGATGTGTCGGGTTAAACGTATGTCACTAGGGTTGATTTTACCCTCTTTAAAAAGCCTTTTTAATATGGCAACCAGAAAACTTAAAATTTATGTATGTAGCTCACTTTTTATTTCTATTGGACAGTGCTGATTTATACCAAGTTTGAAATACGAACTGGTTGACGTGCTTATCCTGTCAAACTCAGGAGCTGCACTGTTAAAGCAATATTGTGCCCGTTACAATGCGATAACATGAAATCATGAAAGTACAGTAAGTTCTCAGTTAACATCATCAATATGTTCTTGGAAGCTGTGACTTTAAGCAAAATGATGTATCACAAAGCTAGTTTTACCCTAGGCTTATTGATATAAACAAGAGTTACGTTTCTATGGCCACACAAAAAAATCACCAAACTTCTAAATAAAGACCCAAAACACCTTTTTTTTTTTTAAGATTTTTATTAGGGAATTGGGGGAAGGGGAACAGACAAGTTGCTGTCGTTTTGTTCTTCAGTCTAGTTGTGGAGGACGTTGCTTCACTGGCCCAAGTTGGCACCATCATTGCGCTCTTCCCAGGCGAGGCAGATCAGTCGCCGGCTTCTGGACGGCCGCTCACGGCGGCTGCTGGCCGCTCACGCTGGCTGCTGGCTACACACGGTAGCCCATGGCAACCCACTGCAGCAGGGGCTGCAGCCTACGCCATCGCCAGCGACTCACGGCAGCCCAGCTCCAGGTTGAGCTGTTGTTCAGCATCTTAGCTGTAGAGGGCAGTGTCACTGGCCCTCATATGTGGGATCCAAACCGGGGCCCTCTGGCATCCCAATCCAGCTCTTAACCAACGTGGCACTCTGCCGGCCCCCAAAACACTTCTAATATTACACATTGAAATAAATGTGAGCACTACATACATTTTATTTTATTTATTTTTTATTCATTTTTTAAAAATTATATTGCGGAAGGGGAACAGTGTTGGGGAATTGGGGAAGGGAAACAGTCAAGTTGTTGTCCTTCAATCTTAATTGTGGAGGGCGCAGCTAGCTCAGCTCCAAGTCAAGTAGCGCCACTCAGCTCAAGGTGCTGTGTTCAGTCTTAGTTGCGGGTGGGCATAGCCACTATCCCATGCGGGAGTCAAACCAGCAGCCTCATTGTTAAAAAGGGATGCTCTGTCCACTGAGCCATCCAGGCAGCAGCTCAGCTCAAGGTGCCGAGTTCAGTCTTAGTTGCGGGCGGGTGTAGCCCACCATCTCACATAGGCAACATTGTTGTTACACCAGCTGAGCCATCCTGCCACATGTTGGCAGGTCAGTGGCAGCTCAGCTCTGGCGCAGCTTACTGGCCCATGTGGGAATCGAACTGGCAATCCTGTTGTTCAGAGCTTGCACTCTTGAGCAAGCTCTTAACCAACTAAGCCACTCAGCCGGTCCTCTACATACATTTTAGAACAACTAATAAAAACAAGTGAAATAATGATTTTCCAACCTGCTTATTCCAATTCAGGGTCACAGGTGGCCAGAGTCTGTCCTGGCAGCTCAGGGCACAGGGGGGTTCCACCCTGGACAGGATGCCCTTCCATCACAAGGCCACTCACACCCACACCCAAACTTACTAACACACTGGGACAATGCAGACATGCCGTTCACCTCACATATACATCCTTGGGATGTGGGAGGAAACCGGAGGACCAGAGAAGATGAGGGGAGAAGGTGCAAACCCCACAGAGACCTGTGGCCCTGGCTGGCGATCATTTTTTTTCTCATGAAAGTTTTAACGAAACAGCGTTGAATGAAACAATGTTATTCAAAGACTTGCTGTAATACACATTTATGAATGTATTTTGATTTATTAACTCAAAGATTATGCAAATTAGCATGTAGTTGTCTCTATTAATATTTTAAACAAGCTTCTTAGCTATAAAGAAGTCTTTAAGGCACTTCATTTGGAAAATTCCAACTGAGATAAAGATTAATGTTTGTGCAAAAGCCCACCATAAAACATTGTTATTTGTGTCTTCACTGGTCGTTCGAAAATTTTCTTCACGGTCCTATGCAGAAGAGAAATAGGCAGGTTTAGTTTCTGAAAGTACTTAATACATGAATTTGAGGGAAAGGTGCTGTATGCATTTGAGATATTTTAATGTTTCCAATTATACCCAAGTACAATCTTGTACCAAAGTGAGGTCTCATTTTCTAAGCCAGGTACAGTGGTGTTAGCCTAAGACAAGGAGTAAGAATCAACCTTATAACACAAATATTTGTATTTTGGTGTAAAATATCAAGTGTTTGATCGCTTATTTTATACATTTGTCACCATTAAGCAAAGTGAACGTTACCCAACAGTGGTATTGGGTTGTCGGAAAAGTCATGACGTATTTTTTCTGTTTTTGGTTGCAAAAATATGTCATGACTTTTCTGACAACCCAATAGATTTTTGTTGTTTGAAATCTTACTTTTACTTTAAGCTGGGCACTGTGCCAAGCATGCCTACTCTTATTTTCCAGATAAGGAAGCCGAAGTCTAGAAACGACACAAGGTTAGTGAGTGGTGGAGCAGATTTGAGCCCTCATCTAACCAGAGTCTACTGAGTGCAGTGGCCTAGAAAACACAGGATGTCACAGGAACAAAATTGTGATTTAGAAAGGGGGCATACTGAGCCTCTTCAGATATGTGGGTTGTGTTTGAAAGCACTTATTTATTCATTCTGTAAGCTCACACCCCAAAGGTGAATGCGCCATGGCCCTGTATTCTAGAGGAGCTCAGGGTGCAGCAGACAGAGAAGGATTGCTTCCTCCCACATCTCGCCTGTCCACACAGGCTCCGAGGGGAAGGAAGATCGAGGGATGGGAGGTTATGCTTTCCTTGGTTCAGGGGCTTTGTCTGGAGAATTACGTTCCTGGCAGGAAGACGTAAAAATGAGCTGACTAGGCATACTGACCCTTTGATAGTTTTGTTCTTTAACTATTTGTTCAATTTGCTCAATTAGATGTTCAAGCTTGAAGCTGACTTCATTAACTTTGTCCTTCGCTTGAGTGATGGCGGCATCAAGGTCGTGTTCTCCAACCCGAATGTCTAAGTGGACCCGCTGTGCGAACAGTGAAAGGAAGAAGCATGTTTTTAAACAGCTCTGCATTCTCCATACTTTTCCCCTCTCCATGTCCTGGTCCCTCTCTCCTTCCCTTCCCTCCACTCTCCCTTATGAAGAGCAGGGCCCCGTTTTTTCTCTATCTCGCTTTCCCCTCACTGCCACTCTCTTCCCTATTGTCCTCAGTAATGTTCTTTGTAATAGTAATTCAGTAAATGGTAATCCACTGGCTCTAGGGCACTCATACTTCCTGAGTTTGCTATCAGCCAAATGCACTTGGTGCTGAGAGATTCTGGTCACTCTCCAGAAATTTCTCTTTATGGACAACTAAGTTTCTGATGCTAAAGTACAAATTCTCTTCGTTTGTTCTCAGCACATTTAGAAAATAGCCTATCACCATATACCGTGAAGAGTTTTATTTATTGGAATTCCATTGTTAATGCACCCTCAGCCTTCACTTGTTTTCAAGCCTGAGTAATCACAGTTCTTTTAACCTTCCCTCACAGTTCTTATTTTTCAAGCCCTTTAATCAACTTCGTGGAGCTCCCTTGAACCCCTTCCAAGCTCCCCAGCCCCTACCCCCACTCCCACCCCCACCCCCGTTGCTGCGCCGAGATCTAAATGCAGGACTTCAATAAGTTTGTAGCCAGTCTGAGTGTCAGGGCTCTGCATACCGAGGTCATGCCGGACCAGTGCTGACACTGCATTCATCAACAGGGACGTGCAGGCGGGTACTCACCAGCCCACTCCCTCCAAATGACACGAGCCTTGTCGAATTAGATTCTAGACAAATGATGTGTTC